TTCCCTGCCAACACATTGTTTCCTTGGAAAAGGGAAAAAAATGAAATAAACTACAAAAGGCAAGTTTTTCTTTCAAAGGTACTGCATGCACCCAAAAATCTCTTAAAGTGGATGGATGTCAGCTGGAAAATAGCTACTTTAATGTGGTTCTCAAGACATGTTTGTGGATTAAAGTTTTCTGGTTTATAAATTAGGTGGATCCATTGCACGACCCAAGACTAAGCATCACTATTTTACACACAGTATCTTAGATCCTTATGACTGAAAATAATAGACATATTTCTCAGAAGTTCCTGAATATATGCAAAAAACATACCGTTGGTTTTTTTTAAAAAAAATAACTTACCTTCTTTTACTGATTCCTCCTTTGACTGGCTTAATGTCAACAATCTGTTACATTTTTCCACTTGAAGAACCAGTAGGTTATTTGCTTCATTAATTTCTGTTATTTTCTAGAAAATTGGAAAAAGATCAAAGTTACATCAATCTCTATTTAAGTCTTAAATCCCAAGTTTTAAATTCATATAAAATTTAACAATTTTCCAACACTGCAGTCACAAACCTATACTATTTGCCATTCTAGAAGTTCTGTTATAAAGAAGAATGATGCTACACTTGAGAGCCTGTGCTATGGTGAGTTTACCCTGCAGAACTAAGAATATTGACTTATATTACTAGCTATAAACTGGTTGCTTCTCAGTTCTGTAGGCCACAGTCTCATCAATCCTCAGCAAGGTTCTTTCTACGGCTTTGAACATAAGGCTGTCAATGCCCTTGCTGAGCACCAACATGAGTAACAGGTGTGAATATGAAATGGTGTAATATGTTTTCCCATGAGAAATACTAAATTAATTTCATGAGTCCCTTCTATAGTATCTCTGTTATGGTTCTACTGATCAGGAAATCACCAGAGAGCTCACCAACATGGATCTAACAGGAGATACAGCACTGATTTTCCTCAGTGAATCAATGTTTTAAGAATTGACATACACATAAAGAGAGCTCAATGAGCATGAAACATAAGAACAGACGCTCCTGCTATGGCTACGACATTTGTCTAGAACAAGGAACAATTTCTGAAAGCAAAGCTGTATAATATTGTTATCTCCAATAGCAGCTTTTGATATAAAGTGACGCATCTACATTTTTCCTGAGAAGCTAAAATTGGCCTCTGCACCATTAAAATTCTAGCATAGAAACAAAAGCTTCTCAGACTCCACAGAAATCACTAATTTCTCTCTGAAATGAGTCGATATTCGCAACACTTTCCAGATAAAGTTGGTATTACAAGGCATACTAGTAACAGTAAACAGACACCACTTGGAAGAAATTTTCACTTGAAAAGCTTATTAAAATGTCACAAAACAGAACTTTCAACATTTTTTACATTCTTCACTTACCCTTTCTATCTCTGAGAAGTCATCTAAAAGTTTATCAAGATTCACCACACTGATTTTCTTCACAGTTTCTTCATGGCTGCGATTCATTTATTTCTGGATCGTATAATCCAGGGATCACTATATATATAAAAAAATAGATCTACGAATTCATATATTTCTCATTCGTACTACATAAGAAGATTTCATATGCACAAATGTAAGCAGAACAAATAACACTTAAAAAAATAATTTAAAACTATTTTTGCATGCAAGGCTAAACTTCAGCCAACCTAAGATCTTGCATTTCCGGGAAACACAATGGATTTCTTTTTAGATATGCTGCTAAAAGAGATTGGTCTTCACGGCCTCACTTTAAAGAATAGGAAAGTCAATAAATTGAATTAATTATTAATTTTCTACTGTGTGTATTTTAGAGGCACTGGATGAGATTTTGGTAAGTTTGAGTAACTCAGGAAATGTTACTTAAGTAAATGAGATTTTACAAGGCACATATTAATGGAAGATCTAGACTTTTTTCCCTGTGTAGAGGCTCTAACACTTAACCACTCAGGCTTCAAGTTACTTACATATTTTCTTACAAAAAAAATGCACTAGTATCAGTGACGAGACACTGCAGCACATAAATCTTACCATATGAGTAAAAACACAGTATTTCAAAAAGCATCCATAAAATTCTAGATTACTAACAGATTTCCTATTTTTAGTAGAAATTCTAATTACAGAATCTTCAACATACATTTGCAAGACATGTCTGAAAGACACAACATTGAATGCTTCTAAAATAATTGAAAATATTTCTGAACATCAGGCTCCATGAAAACAAAAATTCCAATATCCAATAAACAATACATTCCAGACAAAAGACTTCTATGTCGTAATGTATGAATTGTCTTTTTACAGATAACAAAACATTGCACTGAAAGAAATGAACTAGAAGTTAGACTGTGTGCACTATCCAGAAACTGAACGAGTTTCCAGACAGAAATACTTACAGTAAAATTAAGTAGGAAAAAAAAATATGTTAATGAACAACTACTAAGAAGGGACAACAACAAAAAATCTATATTTTAGTTATTTTTTCAGTCATTCAATATTTACACATCTTTACGTGTATGTAGCTTCTTTACCAAAGCAGCAGGATAAAGATATTAGTTCTGTGCGTTTAATACTAATTTTTCTGTTTTTTACACCAGTTCATCACAGGGACTAAAACAAACCACCTAAAGTTAATTAACTTTTTTTTTAACCAACAATTTTTAAGAAGGTATCATATTATCATAGAATGAATGTCAGGGGTTGGAAGGGACCTCACAAGATCATCTAGTCCAGCCCCCCTGCCAGAGCAGGATCCCGTAGAGCAGCCACACAGGAATGTGTCCAGGCAGGTTTTGAAAGTCTCCAGAGAAGGAGACTCCATAACCTCTCTGGCAGCTCTGTCACCCTCACAGTAGAGAAATTTTTCCTCACGTTGAGGTGGAACCTCCTGTGTTCTAATTTAAACCCATTATTCCTTGTCCTATTAGCAAACACCACTGAGAAGAGACTGGCAGCTTCCTCCTGGCACCTACTCCTCAGATACTTGTATACATTAATAAGATGTGTAATATCAAAGAACTAATGCTTCTAAGTAAGCAAATTTTACTAAGTTAGCAATCTTAGTAACTTTAACTACTACTACAATGCAATGATTTGTTGAAATGGAGTTTAAAATATTTATTTGGGACATTTGATTTTGTAAAACAATTATTTATCTTAATATTCTATTAGTTGATAATTTAAATGTACACTATGAATGCCAAGCTCTGATCTTTCCAGTTCTTATCATGGGTGGTATTTTATCTGTCAATCACCATTTCTTTTCATCATGCCCTTAAAACCATGTTTTACCCTCTGAATTATGACTGAGGATGAGAGTTCAGGGAGCTGCCATGTTGTGTGTTGTTTTGTTTGTGTGTTTCCTTATTCCATGGCATAATTTGTTTTTTCAGAAGACAAGATGTGCTCAGCACTTGGCAACATTAGGCAACAGTGCCAGTGGGAATAAAATTTTTGAACTGAAAATTAAAAAGAATATGTTGCATTATTAATGTCGCATTTTTCCAGCAGGAAACTCATCCCTTTTATGATTATTATATATCTACTTTTATTATTATTGCATACATTATGTCTTCCAAAGGCACTATTAAGCTTCTCACCCCTGTTTTGAACTATTATTTATTTCACTAGGGAAAAATTAAAGATTTAAAATTATTTTTTACTGTCATAAAACTTACACCTTTATTTAGTCTCTCTTTAACCCTTTGTTGTCCACAGTATTCTTTTTCAAGTATTGTCGTTAATGATCTGCCTTTGGAATTTAAAGTTTCGTTTTTGCTTAATGCAAGAGTGAAACCTGTATTTATATCCAAAATAAAAGGAGTAGGCATTAGTCTCTAACTGCGTATCTCAGTTGAATACAGTAAGTATTCAGTAACAGGCACTTCAAGACAGTCTCGCCATTCTGAATCCCTGCCCTCCTGTAAGACAGGCACCTGGCATTTGCAGCGACTGTCACCTTGCTTGACTTCCTCACTCTCTGAGCACCCTGAGCACTGTTCGCAGATCAAAACCGCCGCCCAGCCAGGCAGCACCCACAGGTGGGGCGGCCCTACTGACTGTCCTTCTCCTACCTCTGCGGGTTGTCCTCGCAAGGTGCCCTGGGTAGAAGTGTGGCCTTCTCACAGCCTGAGGTGCCCGGGACACTCCAAACACTCTTTTACTCCTCAGCACGTGAGCATAACCTATAGA